GGGAAGCAGAGCTGGGGGAGGATTGGGGGTTGTGGGGCTGGAGGGAAGGATGAGGGGCCATTACTCATCCATAACAATAAACCCCCTGCTCATAGCATAGAGCAGGGATGGGTAAACTAGGCATAGAGACCATGTCCAGCCTATCCGAGCTTTCAATCTAGTTCTCAAACTCCCATTCCAGCCAGGGAGTGGGGTGGAGGGTTTGCAGTGCCGTAACTAGCTAATTTTGCACCTGAGGGAAGAATATAAAATTGCATACCTTCATGTGTATATATTCATAGTAGTTATTTCATAGAAAAAGGGAAAATACATAAATAACAACAACACCACAACATTTATTTATTATAGTTATAAGAGCAGCATAAACAATCAATACATATATATACATAATTATAAAATTTCACCATATCAGGAACTACTAAGTATTTGTTTACAATTGTACTTTGCACGCTTTTAATGAGGCAAACTCATCGATAATTGCATTGAAATTAAGATTATTTGCTACCTCATGTTCTATTGATAAAATTGATATATTTGATAATCTCTCCTGACCAGTGGATGCTTGAAGGTAGTTCTTAATTAATTTTAGTTTACTAAAACTTCTTTCACAAGAAGCCACAGTCACTGCCTTGTCCCCTTGGTTTGTGTAGCACATTCAGAGCACTTAGCAAAGTGGCTCAGCAGCATGGGCTCCAGTTTTTGGAGGGGAAACCATGACTCCAACAGGGTAAGGGCCTGGACCCCGACCCAGAGATCATACCAACCAGACCCCAAGCTCTAATCACATACCCCCTAAGACCTAGAGCCACTCTCCTGGCAGAGGTGAGACAAGACCCAGGAGATCCTGGCTCCCAACTTGACCCCCACCTCATCCCCTGCACCTCTGCCCCTGTGTAGGACAATCTGAGCCCCTTCTCCTCCGGCCCCACGCCTCGCACCTGGGAACTGCACTAGGACAACTTAAGGTGGCGCTTGGCACGGCTGAGCCAGTGCCCAGCCTCCCGCGCCACTCAGAAGCAGCTGACTCTCTGGGCAGCCGCCAGGGCTGGTGACTGTTGGATCGCAGAGCAGCAACGTGCAGCCTGACATGAAAACTGCGGGACAGCTGATGCTAATGGACGAGGGAGGGAAGCGGCACTTTCTTAAAATAAGCAGCTGTCTTAAAATAATTCGTGTTCTATATTATTTTTTGCACCCCCTCAGCTATGTGCCCAAGGCAAGTGTCTCACTCACCTTTCCCTTGTTACAGCCTGAGGTCTTGCCTCTTTCTGGCACTCTAGCCAGGGAGTAGGGTCAGGGGCTTGCAAGCTGAACTGTTCATATGAATCAAAAGGGCATAGAAACGGGCTAAGTTAAGTTTAATTACTGTAATATATTGGTATTATGGTATATTTAGAATAGTAAGCTTGCTTTTATGTTTATTCCACTAAAATGTATCTTTATTGAGTAACATTCATTTAAATATCTCCTCTTCAAAGTTAAATTGATTAACAGCAACATCTCTTAACTATGGTTTACTTTGAAGCTAAAATGGTTTGCAAATATTTTGATTATTGACACAGCCAAATGCAGAAACACAGATGACTCAAATTACAGATTGGTCAGAAGTCGGCAATAATTGTGAAAACTACCCAACTTTTATGCAGTGCAATACACTGGAAATTTTAAGCTAACATTCCATTTGTTTTCAGATAGGAACAAAATCATATGCTAAAATTAACAATACTTTTATGCAGTGCAATACACTGGAAAGTTTAAGCTAACATTCAATTTGTTTTCAGATGGCAACAAAATCATATGCTAAAATTAACAACTGCTCAGTAATATAATTTTCTAATAGCACATTGTTCAACACAATTATTGTACTAGTGTTGATTTTGAAAAAATGTTGTGTTGTCCCTGCCTGAACATGAATTGTTAATTTCATGAGCATTCATGGCCCAGCATACAATTTCCATACCCAGAGGTAGGCCTCTGGTCAAAAAGTGCCCATCGCTGGCACAGAGGCTTATATTAGCACTATGTTAGAGCCCTATCCACACCCTCTGCTAGATATGTAACTCTGGTCAGCCTCTACTCAGTCCCCTTCCCACCAAGAACTTTGGGGAGGAAGCAAGCAGGCAAGTTTTCACGTGCACTTCTGTGCATATAGGCTCAACAGCCAGGACTGGATAGAACCAAATCTGTGCATAAGAGATTTTATTTACTTCCCTGTTCTATCATATAGTTCAAGATATAATGTACTCTAAGTTGTTTCATAGACAACATGAAACAAAACCTATACCTCTTGAAAGCCTTCAGCACATTAAGCAAAATGTATCCATTTTAATCTTAATCAAGATGGCTCAGGTGATAACACAAAATTTCACCAGTTTGCAAACAAACGAGATAGCAAGAGATTGAATCTCCATTTCAGACCTGATGGAGAAAATTACAAAATGGGAGATGATAAAACCAGAGACAATTTTAGCAGATACTCTATCACATGAAACACTCTTGGATCTTAGTACCAAAATCTGCATCATCAAGTACTCCGTTTTCCAGTTTTTGCTTAACGAGACCTCCTTAAGTAGGTTTCCTTAGTTTCTGCACATGGTTAATGTGCAATTTTTTATCTGTGATTCATGAAGAACAAAAAATTGTTGAACATTACTTAAACTTGCACTCATTAATAAATCAAACCATGAAAGAATTTTGTATTTCCTCAGTTAAGGATTAAAGGGTTGCGAAATCAAGGACACTCAAGTTAGGGAAAGCCAAGATGTCTTAACTCAGCCCCCTTGTGCATATGCATTATGACAAAGCCTTTAATGATGTGGTCCTTTCTCATCACCCCTCAGTTCATTCAGAGCACAGGAGGGACCTGCTCAGGACATGAATAGAGGTTGAGAAGTGAAGGACACTGTTGTCTATAGAACCCATGCCTCCTTTGTTGCAGAAACTGGGAAGCTTGAAGTGAACAAGGCAGGGAGCTGGCTAACAGGAACAAGTAAGTGACCCTTGGGATGAGTTTATTGTTTGTAATTGTAGGCTTGCTTGAAGTTGACAGTGAGATCTGTTTTTGGGACTGCGTACTGAGAGAAGCAGTTTGCTAGGCTAGGCTGAGAGTTACTAACAAGGCTCTAGCATGCTA